GGATTGTAACAATTAATATAGAAAGGTGGTCACTTTTCATTTTGTGAAAATATCCGAGGGACAGAATTAATTACCGTGGGTGTACGACAACGATAACGAAAACGATGATCAAGGAGCCGAACCTACACGAACCGCTCCGGAAACAGCCGAGGTGATGACGTCAACATTTAGACTCCCCCACCACTCCAATTCCTGCGCAGTGGTCTACCATCGGAATAACATACCCTTGTATGTACAGTTCGCGCAATTAATGCCTTCCAACCCTATGACGTTACATTCACTCTTGAAGCATCGCGTTTACTTTCTCGGTCGTTTTCATATTCATGGCTATAGTAGACAAATCGTAATCAGCCGGCGAAATTGCTCGAATTTCTTCAACCTCTATAGCCCGTGTTCGTGACACCTCGAATGTGTGTGATTAAAGTTTTATTGACACTGTTGACAGTCGTAAATTTCGTTTGAAAATATATTTACATAACCAAATTTTCAATTATTTACGACACATAATTTATCAGATAAGTTGCTATTCTTCCTTTCTGTATTTATTTAAAACTCTATAAAAAATTATGGAAAAAAATCTTTGTGCATTTTTAATGTAATCAAATTTTTAATTATTTACGGCTCATAATTTTATCAGATCAGTTTATTACAATATTTATCATTTGCATTTTGTCTTTTTATATTTATTTAAATTTCTATATAAGATTAAGGAAAAATATCTTTGTGCATTTTTCTTCTTTTACAAATGGAAACGAACAAGAAGAAATTTTCAACAAGAATAATTTGAGTCTTTTAAGATTTTGGATTTCTTGGCGTTATAGCCCAAAAAGGTTAGGGCTAGCGACGCTTTATTTTCCCCTCATCTGAGGGACACACTTAAAAAAGAAAAAAATCTTCTTAAACCATCTTAAACAGAATGTAAGTTGTAAAAAGAAATTATACTGTATATTAAATAACTTGTTTATAGGGGTAAATTCTGTATTGTATACAAATTTTGGAGTATGATTACAGTAATTTTTTTTTATTTACAGAATATTATTAATAGGCCTGCTCTTTTTGCCTGCACTGTCTGAACTGGTACATACAGTGCAATAAGTTGAAATGAAACAAACGTATATCTGTTTCACTTCAACTTATTGCACTCTATGTACCAGTTCGGTAAAAAGAACAGGCCTAATATTTCCGTCGTCGTTGGAATAACATATATCGAAATATGTATGATTTTTAGTCTTCTTGAGTCCAAAATTCAATTAAACAGAAATAAGGTTTGTTTGACATGCGCAGTCACGAATTGAAAACGACTATCAGAGCGACAGAGAGGACTAATGAAGCGCAAGAGTGGGGGAAGTTATCCGCCGTCACTTTTTGGCCTACCCTTACTACCGATATTTGACCGAGTTTAAGCGGGGAGCACAGACTTTTGCATAACGCATAAACCATATACATAAAGAATTTGATTGGTCCATTGACTCATGCATAAGAAAATGGGCCAATGAAATTCCTTATGCACATGCTTTATGCGTTATGCAAAAGTCTGTGCTCCCTGCTTTAAGGTTGATTTATACTGGCCGTAAACTGTTAACTTATGCCGTAATCTGTAAAAATTGACCAATCACAGTCGAATGAGAGGGGAATAATCGATTATAATTGGTCAATTTTTACAGATTACAGCATAAGTTAACAGATTACGGCCAGTATAATCCAATCTTTACTCTCCTGGTTCTAGTCTTCTTGCCCTTGTATTTATATCATGGCTATACGCATGCGCGAAACGAGAGAGAACGAAAAGGCCCAAACATGAAGGAAGATATAAGGAGACTCCACTCGGTCTCGCCAGTCTACAAGACATGAACCCATTTTAGGTTTCGAGTTCCGTTTCCGATTCTCGACACTCGCAGCGCTCGTGAATTTAGTAGTGCTGCGCATAATGAGTGCGAGTAAGAGAAATGATCATTTCTCTTACTCGCACTCATCAGAATCGGAAGCTGAACTCGAAACCTAAAATGGGTCCACTTTTATTTTACGGAGTGGAGTCTCCTTATATCTTACTTCCTGGGCCCAAATGAGTGCGTCCTTTTCTAGATAGGATTACCCCCACTCCTACAATGCGTACTCTAGTACTACTATCTGTATGGTTAAATCTCACTTCTCAGTAAAAAAGGAACGCGCATTCAACTGAGTAATGACGTCATAAGTGAGAATTATCTGAGAATCGGAGTAAATGGAAAGCAACTGTTCGTTCGTCAGGACTCAGGGGTGCTTATTCTGTAACTGTTTTACACGTTTACCGACAGTTGTCGGTGTCGTTGCGCAGGTATTTTGTATGGCAAAAAAGTTGCGCAACGACACCGATATAACTGTCGGTAGGAGTGTAAAAAAGTTACAGAATAGCACCCCAGGAGTCCTAGTCGTCAAAACGACGAACAATCGAGACGAGCCTCTTCGCGATTGGGGATCAACGCACAGTCGAAGTCGGCAACACTTTCAAAAATATAAAATAGAAAGCACTCGATCTCCGAAACGTGTCCGCCGCGGCTGAGTGGTTCTTCGGAACTGATAACACTTGATTAGACGCGAATTGACGCGATTTTTACACTTCAAATTGGAGTGAAGTTTAGAGCGTTAACGATTTTACTTCAAAAATAAGAGTGAATCTCTAGCTAGTTTTTGCTAAATAAAACCTAAGTAGCGCGTCGATTCGACGTGACATTTAACTTTTGGACGACGGTGTTCGGTCAGAACGACTTTTTTAAGGTGGTACATTCGCCGAACACGGCAGCGAGCAGCGCGAAATGTCGTCGGGCGTGATAGATATCCTCGTGGACATGGGTTTCAGCATGTCCAAAGCGTAAGTTCGTAGATAAACGTCGCATCGTCAAAGTCTAACCTATGTTGACGATTCGACGGTTTTGTTACAGCGAGAAGGCCTTGGAGATCACCGGTAACAAAGGCGTGGAGCCGGCTATGGAATGGTACGGAGACGTTGCTGTTATAATTCTCGTCGCGTTGTGACGTTATCGGTTTGTTATTGTAGGCTGCTGGCCCATTCAGATGAGGTCGAACTAGGAGTACCAGGACCCGCTGTAGGCGAGAGTGCTCCAACGCTGTCTACCGACACACAGGACAATGTTGCTGGTGCTAGCAGTCAACCGGTTTCCACGACTGAATCGGCCAAGTCTATGAAGTGCGACGTGTATGTTGAATTGCAAGGATAAGACTAATATGCTTTTGTTTACCCCTTAGGAAAACTAGTACTAGAATAGTACTGAAGCACACTGTATATTTGAATACAAATTGACATATTTTCAGTGTTAATAAATAATTTAATTCTTTTAGTCGCATATTTTCTATTGTTATAATAATCTTATAACCTTAAAAGGATGAAATTATTTATTAACACCGAAAATGTATATACCAAATTTGCATTTAGTTGTACCAGTGTTGCACTAGTTTTCCCAGTAAGAAAATGCTATAAGAACGTGTTCAGATAGGGACTGCCTAAACTACTAAAAACCTATTCTTTAAAACTTTCAAAATAAATCTCACTTTGAAGAGTAAAATCTCATTCTTAAAGATTAAAGATTGAGTTGTTCTTTTTTAAAATAGTATATTTACTCTTTAAAGGTGTTCTAAAACTTAACTCTGTCAATTCCGAGTATTATTTATTTTTGTTCAATATTCAGTGAATAACAAGATTAAAATTTGAGTTGACAGAGTCAGAATTTTAGAACATAATCTGGAGTGAAATTTTATATCAAAGAATTTAAAAAATATAATATACCTGTTGTGAACTATAGATTTTTAGTATTGTCAGTGTATTGGAACACAGCCTAAATGTTGGAATATATTAATGTTCCTTTAAGAGATTATGCTTTTGTATGGAATATCACTACCACATATAAAAGAAATATTTACTTTGCAGTTGTCAAAAGTTTTCTTTGCTTTAATTAGATCTAAAAAGATAGTTCTATCTCAACGAAATGTTCAACAAGTATACATGTTTTTTTCAAACTGTCTTTGTAGATGCGGAAAGCTCTTCAAATCTAACTTAGAAGTTGAATTTCATGCCACAAAGTCTGGACATGATAGATTTTCTGAAAGCACAGAGGAGAAGAAGCCATTAACTGAAGAAGAGAAACGGGAACAATTGAAGATGTTGGAGGAAAAGTTGAGACAGAAGAGAAAGGAGAGAGAGGAGCAGGAAAAGATAAATGCATTTGAAAGAGAAAAGAATAGGATACGATCAGGAAAGGAAATGTCCGAAGCCAGGAAAAAGTAGGGAACGAAGTAATATGAAATTGAAATAGAAAAAGTATACAAATCTATATTTTGTCTACATATGTGTAATAGGTTGGAAGAATTAGAGATGCAGAAGCTTTTGGAGCAAAGAAAACGAGAGAAGGCGGAGGAAAAGGAGGCAAGACAAAGAGTTCGAGCGCAAATCGAAGCTGATAAAGCGGCAAGACGAGCTAAAGCAGCTGCTGAAAGCAATCAAACAATTAATACAACTTCAGTCTCGTTATCTGCAACACCTTCATCTACATCTACGCATCACAGGAAGGATTATACCGAAACCAGGCTTCAGGTATTAATATAAAATGCGTACTAAATAAATATAAAAATATGTAAATCATGTATTCTTCAAACAATTACATTTTAGCTTAGGCTGACTAATGGACAAACCTTGACCCAAAGTTTTGGAAGCAAGGAACAATTATCTGCAGTGAGACTATTTATTGAAATGAATAGAACAGACGACAATGGTCCTTTCCAACTAATGACCACATTTCCCAAAAAAGTGTTTACTGATGAGGATTATGATACGCCATTGGATGTATTAGGTATGCTATACTGATAATTTATTATTATATACCTACATTTTCATACAGATATATGTATATATAAACCATAATAATTCCTACTATCGCTTATTGATTTAACGAGTGTAGTTCTATTAATTAATTATACAATTTTATCAGCTATAATGTAATAATTCGTTGCCATTGTGAATATTTAACATATTTAGCACATAAAGACATTTCCTGATTGCACTTTTATTTGCAGGCCTAGTACCCTCAGCAGTCGTGATCGTCCAGAAGAAGGCTGAATGATGTAGCCAGTAATGCCCTAATTTGTAAGCAAAAATACTAATGTATATTATCATACAAATTAATTATAAGACATTCACTCTAATATAATAATATTCTTTATTATAAATGAACTTGTTGTGTGTGATATACGAATTTCTTTTTTGAAACTGACTTCTGTATAGTCTTTTTTTCTCGACGGTGAATATTTATTACATTTAAAAAGATAACGTTACGATTAAAAATTAAATGATGAACCGTTTAAGGCTTGTGCATTAATATTTATAATTTTTAACCGACCTGCTTTTTTTACATTTTTTTATTCGTACGTGAAAGTATTATGTAATAATCTAGAAATTATGATAACACGTCTCAATCTGAAATATATTTCTAATATTACTTAAATATTGATTAAGAGATATTAGTTAAAAAGCTAAAAATCATTTTGTTTAACTTGTAAGTATTTATTGTTAATTTCTTGTCACGGTAAATTATTTTCAAATTGATTTGTATGTCATATATATGACTAAGATAAAATTATATAAATAATATCATGTATATAGATATATATATATATATATATATGAGAGATATTTATATAATTTATATAAATATACATATATGATATTATTTATATAATTTTATCTAGCTTGCACTACGGATATATATATATTATGATTTTAATTTTACCGTTATGTTTGTTTTACATAGTAATGTGGTACAATATTAGGATACACTATCTCTTGAGATCTGTTACAGTTGGTAGGAAATTTATATATGCCATCACAGTCTACCAATTGTAGTGTCTTGTTAAAACAAATCCTTATCTCTTCCACATATGAAGTTTTCGTTTTCTAGAAGAAAGTAAAGTTACGTTTGTAGTAAGAATTATTGTTTCTTCTTTTTTATATTTATAGTTTTCATATCCAAAAAAAAAATTATTCAAAACGACATTTATCCGACAATTTATAAACGACATTTATGTATTGAAACAATTGTTGAACTTACTTGGTTAACCACACACATTACTTGTCCCCGTTTATTTAATACTTTTTTAATTCCTGTTAAATAATTTTGTACCGTATATCTGTTGCCTGGCAAAATATTTGCTTTCGCAAGTATGTTTATCATATTGTAATTGTCGAGTAATTTTAGAGCTGTTTGAAAATATTTAAATTCACTATTTAATTCTTGTACTGAGATTGCACAAGTGCCGTGTTTATCCCATTCGTGTTTCCAGAACGAATAAGGTTTAGATCCTTTTTGTATATCGAGCCAGTTTTGTTTTAATTCATTTTCTATAGGTGCTAGAGCTGTTGAATTAAATGATAACGAATTGTTACAAAACTGCGGACCTATTTCGTTATATATCGTAGGCCAAATTCCATGAATAGTCCACTGGTTACGCTTTGGTAACGAGCAACTGTGTGTTTCGTTTGGTCGCGATTGACTTTCCCATACGAAACAAGTTGTCAATGGCCATCGCTGAGTAAATATCAGGACATCATATTCGTTGCGAGATTTTTGTTTTATGTTTTTTCTTCCGATCCATCTCCTAATAAAATAAAAATTATAAAATTTAAAAATAACAATTTTAAATTACAATCTATATCATTTGTAGAATGCCATTCAAATAGTTAGAAGTATATTTTGAAATTGAAAATTATATATATATATATCTGTATTGATTCAGATATATAGATATATCTATATATATATATCTATATATATATATATCTCTGTATTGATTCAGATATCAGATCTATCAGAAAAATTTAATGAGTCAATTGAATGTTCACGTGATTTCTTTGATTAAGTTAAAGAATAGCTTGTTTTGCGTGACGTAATCAATTGAAATAATTGGAAGTTATATATATGTGTGCTATAGCGATAAAGTATCGGTAAAATCAATAGAATTTTCTTTGCATTAAAAGATGCGTTAATAACACTCGTTAATATCTGCGTGCACACGATTGTATTGTAAATTAATTTATGCGATTCAAAACTTATGATTAATGATCTAAATTGATTTCACGCGACCTTCAAAATTAAAAAATGACTGATTAATCATTTAAAATCATAGATTATAATATTTCAAACAATTCATTTTGTTACCTTTATTACGATATTTATTATTGTACTCACCCGTGTGTAATGCATAGTAGATAAATCAAGACGATACACGATACTATGCTGTACTTGTACATTTTGTTGAGAAACCGTTTTATGCGAAGAGAGAGAGTGGAGACTGACCCGAGGCAGCGGAATTAAAGGCACTTAATGCTCCCACTACCTTTTTCACAGTTACCACCACCATCTTCATCGTTCTTTACATTGTTCGCAGTAGATGGTATTTTCTACCTGATCTTGTTGCTGGTTTAAACAGCTATATCGTGAAACGTATTTTCACTGCTACGTGTGTAATCATAAATCGCATATATTTCTTATTACGAGCGTTAACCAAATATAATTACGTTTATAATATTTTGTATTATAAGAAGTAATTTATTAAAAATTATTTAAGCTTATATAATAAATTTTAGAGAAATAATTTCCATATGATGTATCTCTTTATAATCTGTCGCGTTAAATAATTGGAATAATAATTATTTTTAATTATTTTTATACAATTATAATTACTTCTTGTTTGAGAAATAAATACGGCTCAATTCAAACAGCGCATATATAGTATTAAGGATATAATTATATTTTATTAAAAATTTTATTTTTTTTATATTGAATAATACGAGAGTAAATAAAAATTTGCTATAATTAATGAATACAATGACTGTGTATATCGAATTATTTAACATCGCCTAACTACATTTATCGTTTTATATTTTCTTTATTATCTATAACGCGTGTCCAAAGATAAATAGCAGTTATTATCATGTTAAGCTAGATACTTCGAAAAAGTTTTAGCAAATTTGTATAGTTATATTAACAATACAAAGATATAATTGATAGCATTAATTGCTATTTTTTTAATGATATTTTATAGTTGTTTACAGCAAAATCATTTTTTTTATATAATACTTTAGATAATTGATACTATAATACAAAATTTTTTTTTAGAAATATCTTGTTTTATACGAGAGAGGTCTACAATAGAAGTTGTAGCGATCGTAGGATCTTATATCGTAAAAAATCGATCAAAGACGATTATTTTTTTCATATTCGACTGTGATTGCGATTAATTTTCTATGACTTAAAACCCTACAATCACTACGACTTCTATTGTAGACTCCATCTTAAAATTATCCTTTGAAGCGAAATGCAATTGAAATTATAGTGTTGACGATATATATATATATATATATATAACTCTTTTTTTTATAATTAATAATTAATATCACTTCGGCACATCGTTGTATCGACAGTTTTGTGCTTTCGTCATACAATTTCAAAATACACTATTAAATCTATACTATTTCTAGAATACATTTTATTTGCTTAAAAAATATCGAGTAAAGCCGTAATCACACTACAGGCTCCCGACTACTGACTCGGACTCTCGACTATAATTCAACCAATCACAGCAATGCAGCAGCCGACTCGAGAATAAAAATCACTTTATTCGATCGACTCTAAATCGGATGTCGGGAGTTAGAGTCGGGAGTCTATAGTGTGATTACGGCTTAACGCGTATAATGTCAACACGTCACGATACAAATGAAACTGAAACACATAACTAACGATCACATAAAATTACTCTTCATGAGTTTTCCAATTATCTGAAGCATCTGGAAAGTTTTGTTTGGTTGCACTCTTTGCCTCAGCAAATAATATAAGATTCCTTTAGAAATAAATAAAATGACGAAGAGAGCGGCTAGATCGAACCAGAAATTCGGAGGTGTTTCTTGTCCTGAAACGCAGACGAATTTGCTAAACATTTCAGACATGTATAAATTATTAACAAGATACAAAGCTTTCGGAAAATTGTTAGTACAAAATACAAAGTTTTCAGAAAACCAGAGAAAGGAAATAACTAGTTACTTGTAACGTCGTTACTTTTCTTATCGTTTTAATACGTTCTTATCGTTATCATAAACGATTTGGCAATGGTGACTTTTTTTATGAGTATAACGGTGACATCAGTCACTCGATCGTTACTTGTAACGAGTTGGGAAAGTCACTCATTCTTGAAAAAATTAACTCGTCATTTGTAACCTGTTACTTTTTAATTGTTACTTGTAACGAGTAACTACTCGTTTTTCGTTATAAATTACCTTTTTCAGTGAGTAAACGCGTAATGGTGCAGATTATTTTTCAAAGCGATTGAATCTAAAAAGAGCTAATGAGAGCAGCGACGCAGTTAACAAGCATAATTAAAAATTATATATGAAACTTCAAACTATGTGAGTGAGATTATATAACACATTGTTATGTATATATATTTTTGATATTTTTTCATATTTTTTTATATAATTTTATAATTCTATAATTTTTGAATTGCGATCTTTGTAACATTGAAAATGACCTAACAGAGGTTGAAACGTCCGTTTCTGTTTTTCTAATTAAACTACGTAATTTTAACCAAATGACAATTTTTATTTACAAACAATTTTATAATTTAACGAATTTTTTGGCTCGTAGTCCTTTTTCTTATTTATTATTATATAAATCTTACAACGTATATATTAGTATATAAAATGAATTAATTTATTTAAAATATGTTTTTAATGTGGCTCAATAAATTTAAAACTAATAAAGGGGCTACGAGTCAATAAATTCGTTGAAAAAAATCTTTAATTTATTCTAAATATATTGCGAAGAATATCATGTAATTTGGCGTTTCGTATTTGATATTCGGAAATTCTCGTAAATGCTGTTATACGCGTATATCTCTTCATATATGATAGAATCTCAATTGAATAACTCTCCCAGGCGTCTAAGGTATGCTTCCACTACAATACCTTACTGATGAGTCCAGTAGTGGAAGCCGGGACGAAACGCTAAATTACGTGATATTCTTCGCAATATATTAGAATAAATTAAAGATTCTTTTCAATGAATTTATTGGCTCGTAGCCCTGTTTCTCTCTTTATTAATTTTTAGTTTATTTAACTTATTTGAACGTTTCGGCTCACTTTGGGGTATTCTTCAGCGAATGTTAAATTATTTGTGTGTGCTGTACCTTTTTCTCTCTTCTCAAGCTAGTCACTTTCGGATTTCCATGTTCAAAGTGTTCTAGATTTTGACATTTTAATGTATAGATAATTATAACCACTTGTGGAGAGAGACTATATCTCATTATCAAACAATTCCGCAATTTATATAGCCAATTAAAATTTAAATAAATAATATTACATATATTCTATTAAGTGAAAACAAACATGTTGTGCACCTTGAATGTCTAGATAAGACTATCAAACAGAACAGACGATAAAGGTACAACATATCTATTTTCATTTAATAGAATGTATGTATCACCTGTTTAAATTTCAATTGTCTATACAAATTGCGGAATTGTGTTTAATAATGAGATATAGTCTTTCTCCACAAGTGGTTATGATTATTTATTAGGTCTACAAGTTTGCTCCCGCCGTTTTCATATATGGTAGATAGTTTTATACCTGTAAAAACGGCGGGAGCAAACTTGTAGACCTATATATTAAAATGTCAAAATCTCTCTCTCGCTAGAACACTTTGGACATGAAAATCCAGAAGTGACTGGCTTTGAGAAGAGAGAAAAAGGTACAGAAAATAATTTAACATTCGCTGAAGAATACTCCAAAGTGAGCCACAAAACGTTTAAACAAATTAAATAAATTAATTCATGTCATATACTAATATATACGTTGTAAGATTTTTAATTACCCTTGTCAACTGCGTCGTTGTTTTCGTTATCTTTTTAAATTTAATCGTTTTTCGGAGAGTTCTTCTTAAATTGTATTTTTAAAGTGAGTTTTCCAATCATAGTGCAATCTCACCGTTTAGTTAGTTATTATAATCGTAAAAATTGCAACGTCGTCAAATTGTTTTTATAAAAAATAATAGAATAGTAATTCTTCCCTGGCAAAAAATCGTGCGATATGCGTAACAGTTATTAGAACAATTACACAACTTTGGAGTTTTAAGAAAAATAGTGTTCTACCTATAATTCGCAAGATTTCCTTAGGCGAGCTAAAATGACAGTAAACTTCCTCTGGTGGGCAATATAGTCTTTGTCTACCGTGGCCGTACATAGCTGTTGTGAGAGCTTCTAGTCCGTACCGAATGTAGCTCATGTACATGGGAATCGTCCGGTAGAGAGGAAGAGGTCTCGGATCGCCGAAATCTTGTACCGCGACTAACATTAACGGACAAGTTAAGGCGGGTCCGGTAAATATACTATTCTGAAAAGATAAGACACAGATTATTGATTTTTTTAAAAAGCTTTTTCTTTCTTTTCACAATGCAATCTCGAACGTACCACGACATTAAATACGCTAGCGATGTTATATCCTATACTTTCCGCGATAAAGGCACACATGAAGCAAGTGCTAAAGAACATGAAGCTTCTGTACAATTCCAGAGGTTGTCCCGTTATGAAATAAACCATTGAGAGATATAAAATTGCGAAACCTGTCTGGAAAAGAAATAAAAATAGTTTTGAAACGTTTGGATAGCTGAACAAATTGGATTAAGCTGACGATTTAATTTATAATAATGAAAAGTTTAAATCCTTCCCATAAAAATTGCAACTATGAAAACAAGAAAATCAGAATGTATATGAGGATAATTTTTCTCGAGAAAGCTAAAAGGCTTTTTTGATTTAGGTCATAATGCCATCAAAGAAACGAATCCCTTTACTGTATGAAATATTATGGAAAAGTATTATGTAAAAAATGAATACAATTTTATAGTAAACCAACCTGTAAAGGTATATTGACTACAGTTAAGGCCCAATAATACGCGCTAAGGTCGTACCATCGGTTGAAGTGTTCCCGCTTCATTATCCGAATTTCCGAAGGAACTGTAATGAAAAAATAAATAACAAGGAAAAATATGATTTTAAGTTAATTTTTCAAAAACAACTTTTTAAAAACAATGGCATTTTGATCATTTCAATGTTTTTTCAAGTAATGGCATATTCAGAAAGACATTTAATTTTTGAATATAACTATAGCGATTAATAAGTATTATAAATATTAATTTTATATCACACAAAAAATTTAAATGGTATGACGTAAACAATAAACAAATCAACTGCTTATATTATATTTTTACTATGATCGGCTCTTTCATTTATTATTTAAGACTGGTATTCATAGTCGTTTCTTATTTTAAGACTGCCTTAATTATAACAAATGTCTTAAAATAATACAGATTCGCCTGTTTGGTTTATGACATCAAGATTATACTTAAGACAGTCATATTGACTAAGAATATCGGCTTAAGGCTTACTATCTTACATTCTTTTGTGTGTCATAGTCTTTATACTTCGACAGTATGACGAATGTGCTTTCTTATGATAAATGTGACATTGACAGATAAAATTTTAATTAGTCAGCAAATTGTTTTTTATTTTCATATGCACCACTTTAATTTTCTAGTAATTTTCTCTGTGTAGAAAAGAATTTTTTCTTACATTGCAACAGTACTGGTAGCATAGGTATGTACAAAAAAACTATCAGGCACGCAAAGCAAAAACCGAAATTGAAGAGAGCCTTGGAGCCGTCGTTGCCCATATTAAAAAACATCCCACCGATCACTATCCCTAAGAAGATGTGTAACGATATCTTCAGGTACATGTAATTCTGTAAACATACAGAGACATCTCTGGTCAGTTTTGTGTGCAATTCGTTTTGAAAGAGATCTAATCAAATAACTAAAATTTTATTAGCTGTCTTAGCGAACATCTACATATTTTCTTTAAGTATAATAATTTCTTACGTTTGAAGTGATATAAATCATTTGGCTACTGATTCTAGTAAGCAAAATGATAGTATCGTAGGATAATGTAGTAAATAATATGCTAGTACGTAGGCCAACAAACACACAATAATTAAAACAAAAAATCAAAATGACTTTATTTTAATTCTTAACGTAGTAATTATTTACTTTAAGGGACTCAGCTCCGATGACCTTGATCTTGACATATGTTGTCAAGGTCATGATTCTGAGCAACTTTACCTTAACAACTACGTGGCGGTCTGTTATAGTTTTTCAGATATTAAACGTTGAAGTTATTTTTAACAGTAGTAGAGGGGGGCGGAACCTATAACTGTTAAAAAGAATAGTCAGGACTATTGAATACGCATAGTATTAACTATTAATAGTATATAATAGTCCAGACTATTGAGTTTGAATATCTCAAAAACTATAATAGACCGCCATCTAGTTGTTAAGACAAAGTTGCTCAGAATCATGACCTTGACAACACATGTCAAGGTCAAGGTCATCGGAACTGGGTCCCCTAAAGTAAATAATTATCTTGGCATCAAATATATTCATATTAAACATGTTTTGTTAGTAGCGTCGATTCTCTACATAATTTGACAATTAATTGCCGAGCAGAACCTGTTATTTTAATAAATTACGAAATGGCCATCTAAACAGATATATCATTCAAATGTGGATATGAAATAGTACATTCTGCTCGATTACGAGAATCTGGCAGCGGATACTTTTCAATTTCTATTAATATTCCTACCGACAAGATTTATAGCAGACCCTTTGTAAAATTTTGACAGACTTTTGACTATCTAAGAATATAAAATACATCGAGCTTACTCTATTTCGATAAATCTGCATCGCCATTCTCTTCACTAACGTGCCGAATTGATCAATCCACGAGGTTTTTGGGTTTTTTTTATCGAACTCAAACTCGCTCTTTGATCGAAAAATGGGAAGTAACGGTAGTTTCATGTTGACGTATGTCACCATCAGTTCGACCAAATCAAGACCATAATCACCCGTCGAGATTTCTATTACTGAAATGAATATTCAACGTCAATTTATGTAATTTTGTTAACGTAATAATTTTCTTATCAAAATTGAATTATGTATAAGTATTTAATTAATTTTTAAAAATAAAATAATATATTATTAACGATAATGTTTATTGCTGAAATAAATATATATTATGTAAAAATAATGTTTATATAATTTTGTTAATGCAATTATTTTTTATGGCATTTGAAATTCTTAATATAAAATTAATTCCTAATTCTTAAAAATTATATATCAATTCTTAATTCTTGTAATTCTTAGCATTATTTGTAAAAGATATTTCAAAGTTCTACGCAATCTACTTAGAACAAGTACCAAGCATTTTTTTTCAGTATATAAAAATTGTTTTTGATTGAAATCAAATTACACGTATAAATATTGTATTAATTAATTTTTTATTCTTTTTTAATTAAATTATAGTATTTATAAAAAGAGATTTTATAACTTTTTATCTTATAACGTAACATATATTTTTTTAGCCTATATTACTTAATGAGTAGTGCAATTACTCTGATGGAAATTGCATTATGAATAGTAATAATCTTAGCAGTAATTTAAAATAGCCGATGGCTACATTTTCATCTTTTAGATGTCTACCGCTATCTCACGCGCGTTGATTTGCGAAGTGATAAACATGATTACACAGATGATATTAGATTTCCGTATATGAGTCTATGCATATAACTCACGGAAGTCCGCTGGGTTGTAATGTTTCGGGCATTCTAGGCCTATGTTTTGTAAGAACGGCAATACATTGCTCGTGGCACCTCTATAAGCACATTGTCCGTTGGTGACAACGTAAATGTGATCGAATTTCTGAAATGTGCTCGCGCTGGGCGTGTGCACCGAGCATATAACGGTCCGCCCGAAACGCGCCAGCCTCTGGAGAACATCGATACACTGGGAAGAGGAGAGCTCGTCCAGTCCGCTGGAAAGAAAATCTCCTTTTACGACACGAAGATAGTCTCGCGAGTGAAGGCTAACGGCACTTCCGCGAGTCTCATAAAAACATCGCTAAAAGCGCATAATTAATATCTGCGATCATAAAGTTCGGAAGAGATGCGCGTTAAAACATTTATTGCGAGCAAATGTTTGATTTATCGCATGTTTTTGTTGTTAAGTATTTTTTTTTACGCAAGTGTCCGTTTATTTATGCATTTTGTTTTGTCATCTAGCATGTTGTAACTACACACGAGGAAGAGAATAAATTTTATTTCTAAAATTTATTGTATAATAATAATATTTGTGATTTTTAATATAGCTTTTTAGCTTTTATTAATTTTTTATTGATGCACAAATTTTTTTAAATGTTATGCCAGAGAGAAAAGTAATGTATTCGGGATATATGATAAACAATCTTGTATCTACTTATGCAGTATTTAATTTTAATTTTTATTTCATAACGAATTATTGTTATCAATATGTCTCAAGATCTCTCAAGATTAGTTTTTATTTGTTTTTCTTTGAATACATTGAGAGCCCAATATAAAACGCTTTAACATTATTAAGATTTAATTATATATATACATTATTAAGATTTAATTATATATATTAATTATTTATATTAATTTAATTATATATATTATATATATTAATAATTATCACTATTACTTAGTATATTTCATACAAAATTATTATTAAATGTTAATAGTACACTTAGATACTTAAACATTTTATATTTCAGTAACAGTGGATTTGCGGATATATATTTATATGAACTTTTTTTTACGTTTTGGTGTCAAAAGCTTAGCCCCGAAGTCTATTACTTTATTTTAGTTATATTCTATATTATATTATGGCGTATAATGATTTCTTTTATGAGTTATAGAAATAATGAAATTGCAGTATATTTAATTAAAAAGATTAAGATAATAAATTTTTTTTTATCAGCGCGATTAATATACTTACGTGGTCGGTTCATCAAGGAAAATAACAGGCGGATTATTTACGAGCTCGAGTGCAATTGTTAGCCTCTTTCTTTCACCGCCGGAGAGTCTATCTGTGACTGTATCTCGCGTTCTGGTTAATCTAAGTGTGCTTAAGATCTCATCTATCTGAAATCAATTGTTAAGTTCTGCGAAATGTATTTTTGTGATTTATTTTACGTGTGATACCCGCGATAAAAAAGATGAATTTTATTTGGTGGCTACTCGATCTTGCATGATAAATTTCAAGTAATTTAAAGTAATCGGACGTAATTTTACTCATAAAGGCAAAAAGAAATTTAATTTGTGGAAAATATTTGATTTTCTTCCTTTTTTAATCGTAATTATATATTTAAATTTTTTACGAGATAAAAAACATTTAATAATAGTTACGTTTAATAACATTATACTAACACATTTTTCTCCAATAAAAAAAGTTCTTACGATATATCTAACAATAAGATAAGTTTGTTAAACGAATTATTGAAACTAGATTATGAATAATTCTAAATCATGTGGAAGTAAAAGTTTTTTCTCGTAGAAAAATAAGAGAGGAATGTGATTATGTACGTGATTAAGCACGACTTGATTTGCAAAAAAAAGAGAACTGACAGAATTTAATTTAATCTCAACTCAATTATCATAGATTTTTATTAATTCAATTGAGTGTTATATTTAATTGAATTGTTGATAAACATTTAATCGACAGATTTTTAAACAAATCTAGAGTTCGTTTCTGAAAAATTGATTGATACGTCGTTTATTTTGTGAAGTACAATTTTGTTATGTATTTTTAGTCTTCAAATTTTAAATTATTTTATTACTGTACAGAAAAAGAAAAAATTACGTGTTTTTATGGCGCGCCGGAAAACTTTTTATCGCTTGCCGCTTCCTGCTTTACAATAAGATGTAATTTCACGCATTACATTAATTTTCTTAATTCTTTGTGATTTAAAACTCTTCGCTCTTACATCATTTTAATTCATCTTCCGGTATACGCAGTTAAGATGTTGTCGTAGTAGAAGACTAAAATGTCTACTTACAGCAGCGCGTTTTTCAGATTTCGATTTTCTTCTACCGAGCTTTAAGTCGGCGGCAAATGACATTGCCTCAAAAACCGTGAGATTCGGTTGTGTAAGATCGTTTTGCATGATGTAACACGTAATCTTCTTGAACTCATGCATGTTTCGTAATTGTCCATTAATATTTATCGAGCCACCTATGCCAGTACATCTGTAACGCAGAAATTTCATTTCACTTTCTGTATGTATAATAGAAAAAAAAAAGGAAAAAACCGCATTTTTAAGACGCGTTGAAAAGTTTTTTTTATCGCTTGCTACTTTTATAGGATGTAGTTTAACATAACGTATTACATTAATTTTAATATCATTAATTATTCCGACCTGTAGGTCGATTCCGAGGTCAGCGACTGTTGCAAAGTTTTACATAGTTGACGTTAAATGTTTGACATAGACAGAATCTTGCATGTATATACTGATATAAATATCAAATCTGATCAAAAATGTTGTGTCAAATCGAGATAGAATCTCGAAGTAGAAATAATATTACAATGTTTTTATAACAATTAAATCATGTTCGTTGAATGATCACCGAGATTACAAATTACGAATTATTAACTAATTTTTTTTTTTTTATTTATATTGATATTTTTGCATTACGCAAAGACTTATAATCATAAGTTACATACTCTCATTATTTTTTCAGTTACGCTGATATTTTTCAAAAGATCATCTTATATAACTACCTACGGAATAAGTTAATTAAAACATCATGCAGTCTTAGAAACTAATTTCTGGTTTTTTTCCAGATTTAATTGACCTGCAATGGCTATAATAACACAAGCAAAATAAGAAGGTTGATCAATTTAATTTGACATTTAAATGATCATTAGAATTCACAATTATTTAAATAATAACCTGTATCCAGCAAGAATGTCGAGTAATGTCGATTTTCCAGCACCGGAAGGACCTAGAATCGCTGTCAGCTCGCCTGACTTGAATTGCCCGTTGAGTCCTTTTAGAATCGTCTTTGGTTCTGTAAATTCACAGAAAGTCAAGTGGCATTTTACGCCTGAATGACAGTAACATTTTTTACGATTAAAGTATCGGAGATATTAATTGACATAAGAGATATGTCATGTTGCCGGATGAAGAACGAGTATGATTACTTTAGAAACAATGAAACTATCTTAGTAGTATCGACTACAAAGTTAATTGCCTGCTGTAGAGTTCATTAGTAAGATTGTAGGTGATTTATAGATGATGAAACTATGCGTCATTGCTAATACTTTATATAAGATGTATGCAGGGAATGGAAAGTTACTTTTTAAAAGTAACTAGTTACAGTTACTCGTTACCGAGTAAAAAATGTAACTAGTTACAGTTACAGTTATCGCTTTTTAAAAGTAACTCGTTACAGTTACCGTTACTTGAAAAATAACTTTTCGTTACTTTTCCGTTACTTTTTTAAAATCAATTTAAAAATGTACTTTTGCATTTTTTTTATATGTAATACTGACAAATATATATATAGTTTTATTAAAAAAAAAAAAACAATGTAGAATGGCTCAAATAATAAATTAAATAAAAGTAAAATGAGAAGGGTTACGAGCCAAAAATGAAACAGTTTATTTCCGATAAGAACGACGATGACAATGTAATTAAATGTATAAATATATATTAGAACAATAACATGGATAAAACAAGATAAAAACAAACGACGTTTCCACACTTATTGTCATCGTCTTTTAAACTGTTGGGTTCGTAGCCATTCTCATTTTACTATTATTTAATTTATTTTTTAATTTTTTTTAAACACAATTTTGTAATTCTAAAACCTGTAAAATATGCAGCAAACTGAAATATTTGTATGTCCTATGTATTACATAGAAGATAGAAGTGTAAAATAATTACTGAATCATACGGCCGAATGTCTAAGGGCTTTCAAGTCTTATTGATAAGCGCTGTAAATAGCATGTATCCAATCGAACCGTGTTCAATCGTGTGCAAAGTAACGACAAAAGTAACTGTAAATTTCGTTACCGTTACCCAAAAAATGTAACTCGTTACCGTTACAGTTACCAAAAAAAGAAAGTAACGCAGTTACCAGTAAAGTTACCAAAAAAGTAACTTGTAACTGTAACTTCGTTACAAGTAACGAGTTACTTCCATTCCCTGGATGTATGTATATCACATTCGCTATAATGTATTTTGATAATGCTCACGACTTACGTTTTTATGATTTTATATAAAATTAGTTGTGTACACTTAAATTTCACAGAATTTTCACATAACTGAACTGTTATTTTGATGTTACTCGTTTAGAATGGCAAATATAATTAAATATTTCAATCTTTCAAATTTTGTATTAGTATATTGATTCACGCAAATATTTCACAACGATTATGATATACGCGTATAAATAAATAAAATAATATAAAAATAGAACTCTCGAGAATGTCAAATTACAAATAAAAACGGGCTAATGAGAGTCAAACAGTAGTACTTGGTGCGAATTAATAATTAATATTTTATTAAAATAATACTTATAATAATATTTCAGAGTTTCGGCTTCACTCTGAGCCATCTTCAGTGATCTGAACAATATAATCTTAGAACCAGTCATAGAAGATAACTACTTCTAAGATTAGGTATATTGTTCAGATCACTGAAGATGGCTCAGAGTGAAGCCGAAACGTCTGAAATATTATTATAAGTATTATTTTAATAAAATATTAATTATTAATTCGCACTAAATACCGCTGTTTGACTCTTATTACGCGTATAAAAATAAAAACATGGTGTAAAAATAAAAAATTTTAATAATATTTTAATGTATTAAAATAGCCATAATCTACATCTTGTCACAGTTATCTCTAATCGTGAAAAACTAAAGTCAAAATTATGTATAAAAATTTAATTTTTATTAAACTGATGGAAAAATACTGAAAAGATTAGAATATTGATACATATAATTATTGTACTAATGATCGTTCCGAATGTGTGTATTCTATCAGCAAATATTAACATTTCCAAGACTATTGTGAACTTGGTATTCCTGTTGTGCCATTATCTTTAAAAAAAACCCGCAGAAAATGATGTAATATCTGCTGGAAATTTTTCATAATTAGACAACTTGCAATTAGTGATACATTTTGCTTTGTAAAAAATATAATATCTTTTTCGCAAACATGAGGTATTGAAATATTAATAAACCAAGGAAAACCGATGAGAACATGCAGTTAAGTTGGATCTTGAATGCTTTTATATAATTGTGTGTGAATTTAAATACTACGTATGTAGATTGTTTAATTGTTTCGGTAGTCTAATCTTAAAGGCTTAGGACGCTCGCACGAAATGCAAGATTCGAAATCCGGGTTCGACTCCCGGTCGAGATAATATTTTTTGAAAATTAATTATTTACAGATTTTAATATGTCTTTCAACATTATTAAGATCGATCTAAGATGCGCAAAGAGCATCAAAAATTATTAAATTGTTAGTCAATTTAACTCGTAATATTACTCCGGTAGTTTAGTAGAGTTGCGTTTCAAGTCTGAAAAATTTGGCGAGCAATTAAAAAAACTACATACGTAGTATATAAATTCACACGCAATTATATAGGGACACTGAAGATCCAGCTTGACCGTTACGGCATGTTCTCATCGGTTTTCATTGATTTAAAATTTTAAGGTCCTATAAGATTTGATATTGATTATTATTAATAAAGTCACCTTTATAAGACAGAAAATATTTATAATAAGAATAAGAAATGACAAGACTCAACATGTATAAAACAATATAAATAAGAAAAAGGGCACAGAGCCAAATCTGTTTAACGTACGTATAATTTAAAAAATATATAAATATAAAATTTCAGACGTTTCGACTCCGATCGGGTCATTTTCAATGTATAAATGTAGAGAATTCAAATATAAATTTAAAAAATACTTTTATTTCATAAATAATTTTATTTCAACTGTCATCACAAAGATCAGCACTCTTTTCTCTTAGCTGCAGAGTATCTTATTTAATTTTAATTTTAATTTTATTATAACATAGAAGAATTTTATTCATGGATATTTTAATTCTTTTTCTACTATTTTTGACAAGGATCTTTTTTATACTTATGATATCAATTTACAACATCATTTATACCATAATTATACAGTTGGATGAAGAATGTTTATAATTTTTGTATTATTTTATTTATATTTTAATTGAAGAATGTTTATATTTATTGTATTTTTTAAATTTATATAATATTTGAATTCTACATTTATACATTGAAAATGACCCGATCGGAGTCGAAACGTCTGAAATTTTACATTTATATATTTTTTAAATTATACGTACGTTAAACAGTTTTGGCTCTGTGCCCTTTTTCTTATTTATATTGATTTATAATAAGCTTTATAATGCAAAATTGCACAATTGCAAGATTGCTGTTTCACATAATTATAATGAATGGAGTAATTCCAGTATTTTTACACCGCGCGAGAATTTTTATGACAGAATTAATTAAAAAAAAAAAAATAGAAGAAATGAAGGTAACTTACACGCAATCGGTCTGTTGTATGCCTTCATTTTACATTACTAGTTACGATTTAAATTGTTTACTGCCAATATTAATAAAACCATTGTCAATTAAATCGACTTGTGAATATTGCAACCATGTATCATAAGCTACATAAAATAATTACTATAACGAGTGCAAATGTTTAATTATTTGGTGATATATATAAGTATAGAGAAAGAAGTAAAAGAAAGAACACAATAAAATACAAGTGCTCCGTTCTCGTATTCTTTGTTCAGTTTGATGTCTTTTATATCCTGTTTATTTGGAATCATGATATTTTTAACGCGCGGGAAAATTGGATTCAGTGCATTAAATGCAATAAATGCATTACATGAAATATGTAATTATCACATTTCCAATATATGCGAAAGATTATCTATTATTTTATATATACATTTATTTATTATTTTTATTCTTCAATAAAATTTTGCAAACACGTGTTATTTTACTATTATTTATTACTATTTCTTATTTCTGAATTATTTTGTAAATTTTTCAGAAATTGTACATCTCTCTATGAAATATACGGCAAAAATTCAAGAGTTCAAAAAAAATTTTCTTATATAAGAAATAAATGTGTGTTTCAGAATTATAATTTTTTAGTAGTAGACAATATAAAGTTTTTATTGGTATAATATATTTATCTTAAACATAGTAAATAATATTTGATAAATTAAATCGAGCAATTTCCGTGACTCTGATTAAACATTCATCTCTCTCTAATCTTAAAAATTATCGACTCCCTTTCAAACACATAACTTTAAAGTTAAAATTTACAGCGTTATAATATTTTTATACCTGAAGAGGGCTTAAATATAAAGCTGAAACATGAAGTATGAGAATGTCATTATTTGATTGTATTATTATATATTTAGTTTAAAATAAACATATTTTTGCATATTCTTTGACTCTTGTATGCCCTTTATAATATATTATTGTATTTTGAATATTAAGAGTTCTGCATTACCTTATCTATTTTTTGATAAATTAAATTTTCGATATATGTACATTAGGGTGGCACTTAGGACCAACATTTTTCTTGACGCCCCCCAAATCGACTCCAAAAAATTAAAAAAAAATCACTGAATTTTTGCAAATTTTTATCTTCACTCCTAATGGCCCCCCCAGAGCCCCGTAAATTAACATTGTTTTTACACAAGAAAAAAATTTTTTTCAGTATTTCTACTGGCATTTTTAACGCAGTCGGTCTAAAAATCTATCAAGTGAGATATCTTTTCTTGGATGATTTCCGAGTGCAATGAGCCTAGTCCGAGCAAAAACGATCCATTTCCGGCCGAGTTATTCCACTTTGAACTTTAATAATTTTTCACCCAAAAAATGAGAAGAACCTAAAATCTCTCAATAAAATTACAATAGCTCTGTTAGAATGCATTCTAAAATTATGAACCATTGAATTTCGAATTCCTTATAGTTTTCCGATTAAAATGACCACCTTAT